TTAAATTTAATTTTGTTTGTTTATATCGTTGCGCATATTGTTACCATGTTTTTATTTACGTAAAATTTATTCAAACTATAATGTATATTATTTTAATTAATTTTTTTAAATTCTTTCAACATTAGAAATCTTAAACTGATTTTTGGTAGACATTTTAAATCGGAAATAATTTATTTTATCGATATCTTAAATAACTCGGTTTATATAATAATATCTCTCATTTTCTCTCTGTCTCTCTCTTTCTATAATAACGCCTCAAATCAGCTGAAATCTGGCAACAATGTATTCCAAGGGGGCTACAATTAGCCGCTCCTTGAAAAAATCCCCAATCCGGAAAAACCCCGACCTACCGTGCCACAGGGGCTGTCCTTGCGAATTAAAGCTGCCATTCGAATGCGAGTTGTCCGGCACGTGCGAACAGTACGTGTCGCTGGACAGGATGTTTTTCAGGTGCATGTTGTCCCAGGACATGCTTACGGCATCTAGGGCTCTGTGGAACACCGGGCGTTAGAAAGGGGAGGGGGGTTTCGCCGCCCACACTTACCTATGAAATATTGTGCGAGGCAATGACGGCTTGCTGTGACCCCTCGAATGGCTTCCTGATAGTCTCAGTCTTTTATGGCCTCGCGGGCTGTAGTTTTGATCGGCGTCGTCCGAGTCGCTTGAACTGTCCGATGAAGCGTAATTCTATTGGAAAAAAAACCTCTTGGAAGAAACGGGATTTGAGTGCAAGCCGAGGACTTACTGGTCGGTTATATCTGTCTCTGTCTCTCTCTCGTTCGCGATCGCGACGCTCGCGGCGCTCTCTCTCCCGCTCGGAGTATCGCTCTCGGTCCTGCTCGTACCAATACCGGTCTCTGTCTCTGTTCAAATACTGAAATTCCCTGTAAGATTGTGGTCTCGCCGGATTGGCGGAGGAACTTACCGAATCGCGCTGCCCGCCGACCAATTGCAACCGAAAGTCGGGGTCTTCGGGCGGACACACGTCAACTCGCACCCACTTGCGCAGCTGCTCCTGCCACTGGTTCTTGTCCATCGGCGCGCAGCCGGGACTGAGCACGATGCACACCCAAAGCGACCCCAACTGGTCCCACAATTGGCGGCATTTGTCGGTCATGGGCGTGCCCTGCGTTTTCCACAGCTGCAGTCGGGGATCTTCGAGAAACTGCTCGGTGATCAGCGTGAGCATTCGGGCGCCGTTCGAGTCTTGCGCCCGAAGCATTTCCCGAACCTGCCAAGTGAAGACGTTCCCAATTGTCTATTGGGTTAGTGGGGGGTTCAACCGTTACCGCCGAAATGAGAAGGCCATCCGACAATGACGTCACGAAGGCCGAACAGAGTCAAGAAG